TTGATGTAATTTACACGTAATTACAACTAGTGAACTAGTATCATGTACTATGGCTGACCTAGATGATTTGACACCTTCTATATCCACTGCTTATGGTGAAAGTTCTTAAGGAAATACCGAGTTAATAAATGTGCTTGTGTTTTAGTTCTCTTATTCATCTTGTGAGGTCACAATACCTGCCTACTGCATGTGTGAGGTCGCAATGAATACTTGTCTACTGCACATGCAAAGTCAGAAAGCTATCTAGCTGCTGAATCAAGTTACAAATATTATTATTAAAGGCTCCTTCACCAGCAGATAGCTGCTGATCATTACCTTTATCAATTAGTAGTTTTGCAGAGAGGGCACGAAGAACACTAACAACAGGTGACCAATAATGCTATTGTGTAATTATTCCAGATTATTCAATTACATTGAGCAGGAAACAGATTTTTGACCATATATGTTTTGCACTGAAATTAGCTTTCATTAAAAGGAATTATTTTGGGTCATTTGCAGAATACATAAAGGTGGCCCATTTAAATTCAAGTTTATGGTTATTTGTGACTGTACACCATGTTTATCCATAAAACCCATAATGACATTACATTATTTCTTTTTACAGACAAAACAAGTATTAAAACAGAATAGAAATAGAAAAATGTGGAACAAGTGTGAAGTGAGCTGTGTCTGATGATCGGATTGGAAGGCCTTGTAATAAAGACTTGTAGGTAATAGAGTTTCTTGGTAATAGGATAGCTATGAATAACTGGTGCAGCTGGATCAGCATACCTGGTAATATCACAAAGATGTAAGTAAAAGACATCAGGGTTTAGGGTGAACACAGGTTTGGAGGGTTTATTATGTACTGCGTTCATATCTATAGAGAATCTGTTTGTTAAATGGTAACTCCAGCCACCATGACCACTTATGCTTTTAGAAGTGGTCATGGTGGTAGAAGCGTTTTGTGCAGTGTTTCTGCTTGAAACACTGCAGATTCAGAGAAATCTGTACTTTTGCTATGGGCAGGGCCAGTGCAAGGATTTTTGCCGCCCTAGGCAAAATAAAGATTTGCCGCCCCCCACCCCCCACCCCCGGGACATCGCAGTGCCCCACCCATATAATCTGCCATATGAACTAGTGCCAGTGCTGCACACAGTGTGTGTTTACATTAAAAAGCCTGCAGGGACAAACTATAGAAACCAGAACAACTTTATTAAGCTGCAGTGGTTCTGGGGACTATAGTGTCCATTTATTGTGAGGTAAATTAGAGATTAGTGTCACTAATAATATACTAGATTGCCTACTTACAATCAGATGAGGATGATGATGGGCTGTGGCTGCAGTCTGGCTCCACTGGTCTGGTGTAGAACAGGATCTCTGGAGGCTGTTTGTAACTGTGGTCACAAAATTCAATGTTCTGGGAGAACGGGAAGCAGCTCAATTTTGTGGGGCCTCTTACATAGCTCAAGGTCTGGGCCCCAGGGCCTGACGGTGAGTATGCCCATAAAGCCCACCCATAAGTCCACCTACATGTTCCACCGATGAGTCCGCTCACAGGGAGTAGAGTGTGTAGGGGATGTGTTATGTGTTACTGTAGAGGATCTAATGTGTGTGCTTATGGAATGTAGTGTATAGGGATACCAGTTTGTGTAGGTGATGCAGTGTGTTTGTGTGTAAGGGATAGAAAGCAGTGAGTGTTTGTGTATAAGGGATGTATTGTGTGTTTGTCTGTAAGGGGTGCGTTGAGTGTGTGTAAGAGATGCATTGTGTTTCTGTGTGTGTGTAAGAGAAGCAGTGTGTGTTTGCATGTGTGTGTAAGGGATGCATTGTGTGTTTCTGTGTATATGTGCAAAGGATGCATTGTCTTTATGTCTAAGGGTTGCATTGTGTGTTTCTCTGTGTGTAAGGGAAGCATGTTGTGTTTCTGTGTGTATAGGGATGCATGTGTGTGTGTGTGTGTGTGTGCGCGTGGTGTGAAAGAGCTCCCTGTCCTGCCCCCTGTCCTATAGAGCTCTCCCTTCCATTCCTTAGAGATCTCCCCTGCCCCTTAGTGGTCTCTCCTCTCCCCCCCACCTCCCTTAGTGGTCTCCTTTTCTCCCCGACTTTCCATTAGTGGTCTCTCCTCTCCCCCCACCCTCCCCTAGTGGTCTATCCTCCACCCCCCTCCTTTTAGCAGTCTCTCCTCACACCCCTGCCCTAGTGGTCTCTC